GGAGTGCAAACTGGTCCAACCACTATGGAGAGCTGTGTGGAGATTTCTGGACCTACTAAACATAGAGCTTCCATATGATCCAGCAATTCCACTCCTAGGTATTTACCCAAAGGACACAGAAACATCAATTCCAAAGAGCACCTGCACCCCTATGTTTATAGCAGCACTGTTTACAATAGCTAAGCTTTGGAAACAACCCAAATGCCCAAAAATAGATGACTGGATCAAGAAGATGTGGTACATATATACCATGGAATATTACTCAGCATTCAAAAAAGATAAACACATGCAATTTGCAGCAACATGGATGGCACTGGAAGGGATCATGCTCAGCGAAATAAGCCAAAAAGAAAAAGAAAAATACCGGATGGTCTCACTCATAGCAGGAATCTAGAAAACTTAAATAAGGGACCAGGAAAATGAATATAAGAAAGTGAAAATCAAAATCAACAAAAAACTATGAACCAGAGACACTTTTTGGGGTGGGGGGCGGGAGGGGAAGGATTGGGGTCAGAATGGGGCGTTTGCAATTGTATGGGGGAATATAAAAATAAATTTAAGATTAAAAAAAATAAAATAAAAAATAAAATGAAAATGCAAAAAAACAAAAACAAAACAAAAACAACAAAAAAAAAATAACACCCAAAGTTCTAACAGTGGCCCACAAGGCTTCTCATGAACTGATTTTCCGTTACCTCTTTCCCCTCATCGTCTTTGACTCTCCTTTGTGCTGGTTGTGCTTTCACCGCACTGACCTCCTTACTGTACTTTTAATATGCTACACACTTCTGCCTTAGACCTTAGCGTTGGCCATTTCCTTTGCCCATTGTGATTTTCTCCCAGAATGAGCAACATGGCTAGCTACTTAATTTCCATTTAAAACTATTTAAATATTGTCTTCTCATTGCTCCCCCTTACCACCCTTAAATACCTATTAAAAACTGCAAGTTCCTGACATTCTTGATTGTCCTACCATGCCCTTTGGTGCGTTTCCCATTAGTGCCTTTGATTGTCTATCCTACTATGTAATACTCTCCCACCAAATATCCTACTAGTAGTTACTTATGTATCTCTTACTTTACTTTGTTGTATGTCACTTATTTTTACCTTTTCTAACTAAATATTAATTATATGAGCAAAGATCTTTGCATTTTTATTTGCTGGTGGATTTCACATGTGTGCAATAGTGCTATAATGCAGCAGGTATTCAAGAAAGATTGTTAAATATATTGTTTTCTTAGGTATGTCATATCTTTTACTGCTATTATAAATACTATTTATAAGTATTAAGCTTTCTTATGTTTTCTGCTCATATATATGAATGTGACTCATACTTAATTGTTATCTTTGTACACTGGACACTTTGGAAATCCTTTGACTCCCATAACTTATCTAGAGATTTGGTTGTGCTTTTCCACAGAAGATTATGTCACCTGAGCATAACAATAGGGTTTTCTTCCTTTCTTTCCTCCTAATCTTTATTTCTAACATTTCTTTTACTTGCTTTTCTAACTTTCAGTACAATGTTTCTAGAAGTTGTGATGGCAGGTGTCTTGTTTTTGTGTTCACAAAAATGCTTTCTTTATTTTAAGTGATACAGTAATTTTTAAAAGAGGGTTTCATTCAGTTTAATGAAGTTTCTTCTAATTTCAGATTTTCTAAAAATTGCTTGCATATTGTGAACGAATATTCTACACTATGATGTTATTTTGTTGAGCTGCAACACAAGATTGTTGCTTTTTGGTATTTATTTATTTATTTATTTTTTGTGGGACCCTCGCCTGTGGCCGGGGAACGAACCCGCACTGCAGAGGCTGCGGGCAGCCTTGCAGCCCCGCGCTCAACCACTGCGCCACCAGGGGAGGCCCCTGCCTTTTGGTATTTTAAAGTGGCAAATTGCGTATTGGTTTCCTAATTCAATCCAATTTTTGTTGCTAGGAAAAATCAATCCTAGTCATGCTGTGTTATATTTTCTACACTTTGCTCACTTTGATTTGGTATTGCTTTGTTAAGATAGAGTGAGATTGCCCTCTACTTGCCCTTTCTCACACAATTCCTGTTGTGTTTCAAAATCAAGCTGATAATACGCTCATGAAATGACATGAGAGTAAATCTGTAAGCTATATTTTCAATGTTGTTAAATCTTAGTATAAATACCATCTTGGTCTGGAATTTTATTGTGTGAAATTTTTAAACTTTACTATTACATTATTCAGGCTTTATATTTCTTCTTGAGTATTTCTTCTTTATATTTCTTAGAAATGCAATTTCCCTAAGCTTTCAAATTATTGCTGTGAAATGGTTCATAACATCATTTTATTAACATCTTGGTATCTATGGTATCTATGTCTTAGTATCCTTTTATTCCTAGAAATTGCTTGCAATTTCTCTCTCTTTATCTATGGGCAATTTTATGCCCTTCCAAATAACCAACTTTGTACTTTATTTGGCCTTACTATTGTAGATTTGTTTCCTATTTTACTAACTACTGAAATTATAAATATTATATTACCCCCATTTATTTTGTATGCTTTTCCCTTATCTCTTTTTTTTTTAAAGATTTATTTTATTTATTTATTTATTTTTAAAGATTTATTTATTTATACAAGCACTCGGTACAGTCAGAAGCGTGGGTTGGGAGGGTGAGAGAATTCACCAGAGCCAGAGGGGAGAGCAGAGCAGGCAGAGTGACGAAGTACACTGCTGAGGGGAGCAGCAGGCGGCAGGAGAGGTCTGTGCACCATGTGGGCCCCTCGCCCAGCGGCCGGGGATCAAACTGGCGCTGCAGAACTTCGCAGCCCAGCGCTCAACCGCTGCGCCACTGGGGAGGCCCTTTTCCCTTATCTCTTAAAGTTGAATGCGTGACTCAATTTTCAATCTTTCTTCTTTTATAAAATGAATATTTTAAGAAAATAAATTTTCCACTACACATAGCTATAGCTAATACTCACAAGGTTTTAATCTAAGGTGATTTCATTATTGCATGGTTAAAATACATGCTACTTTTCATTGCAAGGTTTTCTTTGGCTCATGTGTTACTTCGAAATATGCTATGAAATTTCAAAACAAATGGAACTATCTTGTTTTATTCAGACAGGGACATTTATTTTATCTTGATTAAATTGAAGTTGGAAAAAAATGTGCTCTTTATGATACCAATCATTTCAAATTTTTTGAGATATGATTTATACCTTAATATGTGGTCAATATTTGTAACCATTCAACAGATGCTTAAGAATATGTATCCTGCAGTGTTCTGTATATGTTCATTGAAAAAATAAGATTATTAATTTTATTCATTTTTTTATATTCTTAACTGCTTCAACTATAATTTACTGAAAGATTTGTGTTAAATTCTTTTTTTTTGAAGATTTATTTATTTATGCATACAAGAAGTAGGGTATAGGCCAGAGGTGTGGGGGGGTGAGAGGACTCACCAGAGAGTGGAGAGCAGAATAGGCAGATATACTGAAATAGACTGCTGAGGGGAACAGCGGGCGAGACAGGAGAGGTCTGCTGTGCCATGTGGGTCAGCACCCTGGCCTGGGATCGAACACATGTTGCAGTGGCTGGTGTTAGTTAGCTTGACAGTACTATGTCTTTAACCCCTGGGCCACCAGGGAGGCCCTGTGTTAAATTCTTAGCTAGAATAGTAAGACTATTATATTTAACTGCAATTCTGACAAATTTTCCTTTATATATTTAGAGATGTATATAATCTAGAATTTTTTTACATCTTCCTAGTGAATTAGATTCTTGTACTACAATAGTGACTAGGTAATTTTTCTAAGAAACATGGGAATCACCAGTTCCCAAAATCAGCTGCATGATATTGTATCCAGTTTGTGAGTGACAGATCATTCCTTTCCCACTCTCAGAGATAGGGCAGTAGCTAAGATCGTGATTATTGATGGGTCTTTGACATACTTCCACATTGCATGACTAGGATATTTTGGAAGTTCTACTGCTTCAGTAGTACATTTAAGCAATGAACAGTAATGAAATTGCCACAAGTCTAAAATTTCCTCCCAACTGTTAAATAAATATTGCATTTTCCCAAATGATAGGAATCAATGTTTTTAGTTTTGGGTTTTTTTTTTTTTTTTTTTTTTTTTGCTAGTATTACTTAGGCTTATCCCATAGGAATGAATTAGTTCTCAACTTACAATACCAGAACTGAAAAAAAAAAAAATGAATGGGCACCAAGTTTAAAACATGAGCATATAATGATAGTCTATCTTCTCTTATCTTTCTCTTTTAGTGGACGCTCTGTGTTGTCTGTGTACCATATGACTTCAGTCCCCTAACCATTGAAGAGTGGGGCTTGTGGCCTTTAGTACTTAACAGGTTCAGGTAATTTGAAATTGAGATTAAAAAATATTAGACGTTAACTTTGAATTGGAAAGACATGAAAACATGGGAGAAGAGGCTGGTATTTTGGTGCAGACATCTTTTGCCATGAGTACAGAAAAAAGCATCTGCAAGATGCTTAGACAAAACAAGTAGAACTTGAGAGAAACAGATGACTTTTTTTTTTTACTCCAGGGAGAGAGAAGGAGAGTTGGGTCTTGCTGGTTCCAGTCTCTGATATTCAACTGCTTTTCTTGCCCCTAGATTATTTTAGATACTCTTATATCCTTGCAATAAACCCCACTTTCTGGCTTAGCTACACTGACTGGATTTCTACCTTTACTTCTCTGAATGTTACTGTGCACATCGACTGGGTAGTCTTCAGAGCATTTGGAAAGACTTGGCACCATTCCCAGAGCTGTGGTTAGTAGTACTGAAGCACCTGAAGGGATTCTTTATAAGGGGCAGGTCCTGAATATAAGCAATAGTTGGATCAAATGCACACCAAAATCATGTCACCACCAAATTATATTTTTAATCCCGTGCATTCCAATCAAATCATAAGAAATTATATTATAAACTGCATTCTGTACAGACATAGTTAGAAGACATTTCAGAATGACCTGATAAACACCATTTTTCTGCATAGAATATTCTGACTAAACGTTCAGAGACTTTTTTTTTTAGTTCTCCACTGTTCCTCCGCAGAAGGAAATGTTCAGAATCCAGAGTATATCAGTATTAACACACTTTTCTGAGATAGAAAACAGGCTTATTCCTGATAAAAAAAGAAAAGAAAAAACCAGAGTCAGTGTCTTCACAAAGACTCTTTGGGGGGGGGGGGTGGAGGTGGGTCTGTAGTACAGTTTTCAAACTATCTGTGCAATAATTTCAGGATCTGTATATCAAGATTAAAGCTCTGGAAAGTTGCTGTTAGGTTAGGTTCTTAGGTGGATACTTTTTTGTGTGTAAGTTATTTTTTTGAATGTGCAGAAGTGATTAAGTTATAAAGCCAATAGATTCTTCTTTCATTAAGTTATTCATGCATTAACTGGTGTTCTCTGTGGCTGTGCCTGAGAATAGTCTGATCACTCATCAGTACTAACTTCAAGTCTAATGCTTGTGCTGTGTTCGCTACATGCTATATGCTATTCTGTGTGCTTTTAAGTATTGAATTATTTGCTTCATTGTGATGGGTCCTATTGCAATTCTCACTTCTAGATAAGGAAATGGAGACACAGAGAGAAGTCTCAAATCCCTTGCCTAAGTTAATCCCAAGGAATTTGATTCTGGATACTATGCTTTTAACCATTTGTAAATACTCCTTTTAACAGTGGTTCATGAGTACACAAGATGTATTCAAAGGAATGCAGTATTGGTGTCCTTTGTGAACATGCTCAAGATTACTTAGATAGTTCCAGTAGCACTAACTTCTAGTGTGTGATAGCAAGAATACGCACCTTCATTCTCCTCAGCCATGTATGTTGGAATGCCCTTACACATGACAGAGATGGTTTTTCCAAATCTATCCAGGTCATCGACCATGTCGGGGTTGACAGAATACATCAGGGCCCTGGGAGGTGGTCCCCCTGGTTGCTGAAGTTGAGTGTGGAACAGACAAGTAGAAAGGAAAAGACAGTGAATGCTAAACCCAGTGGTTTGTTGAATTGGGGGGTAGGAGCAATTGAGGGTTGAATTGCTTGGTTATCCACAATCAAACAAAGAAGAGTCAGTTCTAATCCTGTGTATCTCAGATTTCTGTGCCCCAAAGGATTTAGCTGGTTTAAAACCTCAGTATCTCATAAGAGCAAAAGTCTAAAGCTAAATTTATTCTGAAACCTGGACCTCATTTGGTAATCATATATTGGGTTATATAATAACCAGCTTCTGATCATTCAGGTTTTTAAATTTCTCTACCTTATCAGTGAGAGATAACCATTTATCATTTATAAGAGTATGAATTCAGGCCAATATTTTAAAGAATATCATTCAAATGATGCCTTCTCCCCACACTGTCCAACTAGGGTTGCCAAATAAAATATAGACCATCCAGTTAAATTTACATTTCAGAAAAACAACAAATCACTTTTTAGAATAAGTATATCCCCAATGTTGCATAGGACAAACTTATTATGCTGCAAAAAAGTTATCCATTGCTTAACTGAAATTCAAACTTAATTGGGTATTATATATTTTTATTGCTAAATCTAATTTCCCTAACTCAACTTTTGTATAAAAATGCCCTTGGAGGGGTACTGTGGCCTCTCATTGGTGTGAACAGAACTTTGCCTCTGTAAGTATAGGTTCTCAGGTGTCCTGCTCAGCCTCTTTAGAGGCAGGGGTAAATCACATCATTTTAGTGTGGTGGCAGCTGCATCGCTGCAGGCAATTTCCAATTTCTTTCTTTTTATATTTGCTATATGTTTTTTCTTTACATATTCATTTTGGCAAAAAGATCATCTTTCTTATGCAGTAGCCAGGTATTTTGTTTTATGCAAATTCCAATTTATTTTCCTCCTTTATACTACACACTAAACATGGTGTGGTCAAGAGAGAATGATTATGACTTTCCCTTTGTTTACTGGAGATCATAAGACCTCCCTCAAGCAAAAATAAAAAGACTATTTTTACCTTCTGTTGCTTGGCCAGAGCATCAAGGGCTTGAAGAGAGGGCATGGCTTCCTTGTTCATTCTGTGCACAATGCACATCTTCTTTCTAAAGAGTCTGACGGCAGCAAAGTTCTGTTAAAAGAATAAGTTAGTACTGAGGAGTATGTTCTCCAACAAGCTTTTCTTTCAGAAATCATCTTCACCAGCAGTGGAAAACGAAAGTTCAAGATCATGATGGGCTGGGCTGAGTGTAGAGGATCTGGCCCTGTTTTGCAACCATATCTATTGTTGACATTTGAAAGGATAGAGCACAAACTCCTTCAAGACAGAGGTTTAGTGTCTTATTTCAGGTTCTAGTATGGTATAAGGCATTCCATGTATGTCTGTTTTGCTGAAATAAACTTTAAATTATTCTTACATTTTAATCTCCTTTGTTTTTCACAGCATTTTAAGGAGGCAGGTAGGACAGGAATTTGTGTTCTAATTGAGCAGATGTTAAAATTGATACAGAGTTAGCTTTTTGAAAGTATGTTCATTAAATACAGAACTGGTAATTACAGTGTTGGGTTGGTCTCCTGCCAGAGCCATAAAATTTTTTTGCTTCCCTTAATAATTAATAATGTCGTTTATATTTTCTTTGGTCCTTTTAAGTTAGAGGTGAATTGTCACTTTCTCTCTTTTTAGAAGGAAATTGAAAATAGGATAAGATAGGTTGGGTCTTGGCAGTAATAAAATGATGTAGGTCTTTCATCATTATTGAGGGTATCTGTAGGTAAGGGCAAAGAATGTTCACATTTGTCTAATAGCCCCCAAATTGCTTGAACACAGTGGCTTCTAATCACTGTTTATTGATTTGAATAATAACTATGGTGGGGAGCATTAATAACAGCAGGAGTGAAACTGGGTGTGCAAAGTAGGATCTTTTACTTATAATTCCACGCTAACGTGCAGTTAGAAATTATTTACTTTTTAGTTTTTCATTTTTATAAGGTTATTTTTGCTGCTGAAAGGTTATTTATAAAAAATAGAAGCTGCACCCTGGTTACGCACAGTTCTGTAATCCCAAAGGATGTTCCAGGAGTCCCATCCATTGTTGTTGTCCACGTTGGCCACGCCATGTTCATTGTTGACACTCACTGACTGTCGCCCACTGTCATCACTGTTGCTGTTATCATTGATGTTGATACTCTGAAATTTATAAGAAATTGACAATGACTTAATAGCACATTTCTTTGCAAATATATTTTGGTGATACACTTTAAAACATGAAACTTACATAACCAGTAATGGCAGGAACCAGGAAGACGCCAAGAAGTCCAGCAAAGACAATCTGAAATGACAAATAACAGCAGCCTGCTGCTACAAGGCAAAACAGTGTCCTCGGCTTTCTTTTTCTACCCAAGCTCATGAGGAACATTTACTATATTACCACTCTTTTGAGTGCTCTTTTCTTCTTTGAATTTATATATATTTTTTAACCAGACAAAGTTTTAACGATGGCATAGAATTATAGGTTAATTACTTATAGTAATTATGCTATTGTGGTAGTTTAAAAATTTTTAATGTTGGTCTTATAAAAAAAACTGATAGAGTGTCAACATTACTGGAAAATAAATTTGGAAATTAATAGCATTTGTGATATGAAAATGGTTATAAATTCGGAGAATCACATCTGACAATATTTGGTTAATTTTCCTGTTTAATCTAGCATACTTTCTTCCCTTTCTAGACCTTCTTATAGCAAGAGTACATTTTTATTTAAAAAGAACTGTTCAAGCAATGGATTAGGAAGCAGGTTAGATGTTGATAATGAGACACCAAAATGGAATGTCTGGCTATCGAGTGTAGTTAGCAGAAGGGGAGTCAAGGACACCTGATTTACTTGTCTGGACACCTGATGCTAGGACACCTGATTTACTTGTTTGTCTCTGGATATAGGACACAGAGCTTTATGCAAGTTGTCCAATACTGAGTACCTCATCTCATTTCTTTTTTTTTTTTATTTTTTATTTTTTTTTTAAAATTGTCTTTTTTTTTATAGAGGCATGTTTTATTTATTTATTTATTTTATTTGTTTGTTTTGTTTATACATGCACTGGGTACAGTCAGAAGCGCGGGAGGGTGAGAGAATTCACCAGAGCCAGAGCAGGGAGCAGAGCAGGCAGAAGGACTGAAGTACACCGCTGAGGAGAGCAGCGGGCGGCAGGAGAGGTCTGCGCGCCATGTGGGACCCTCCTCCTGTGGAGGGGGAGCAGCCGGGGATCGAACCGGTGCCGCAGAGGCCGCGGGCAGCTTCGCAACCCAGCGCTCAACCGCTGCGCCACCGGGGAGGCCCACCTCATCTCATTTCTTTTGCCTGGGACAAGATGGTTTGAGAACTGCACTGAATGGTTCAAGGTAATTGTTTTATTAATCTAGTTTTTCTCCTAATAGCTGAAAATTAGTCTCCTAAAAAGTCATAGATAGAGGAAATTTTAGAGCTCTACACGCATAATATAATGCAACCCTTTCAGAGCTGAGGAAATTGAGTTTCAGCAGTTAAGTGACTTGGCCAATGTTCAATTGACTAAGATCGTAACTCTTTTTCAAGGGAGAACTAGGAGAGAAACCAGATTTGACCTATATTCGGAGTTACCCCCCTTCCCACAAACCTTGCTGTTATAAGAACTTTTTTCTCAGTAATTATTTTACAGTTGCAACTCCATTCTGAAGCAGAGTCTGCTAGCATATATTTTAGTGTTTAGTATGCTGAAAATAGAAAATATTCACCTGTTTTTAATCCTTCTGCATTTTTGTTATAAGTGACAGATAGAACCACCAGATACTTTGGCAGAATTTTGTGGTCCATCTGTCACATTTTCAGCCTTTTATCTGGAGCCGCAGGTAAGCTACATGCTTCAGAATAAATAACTATGGACAAGGTCCAAGCAATCCTTTCTTACTTGGAGATCCGTTTTATAGCAAAGATATCACAATAAGTCACCCATCTGATTTGATAATAAGCTTTTTATCTTGCCTAAACATGCTTGGAAGTCTTGATCAAAGAGGAATGCAAAAATGTGGGAAAAGTTCAGGTATATTCTGTGAATTAGGGGCTGTCTGTGTCCAGATGTAAATCAAAACATTTGGAAAGTAATTTTATTAAAGACAGCACAGCATGCTCAGACAGCTTCTGACCCCAGTCAGTGTAACCATCTGTCTCTATTGAGATTCTAATAAATGCCACAACTGCATGAAAAGAAAATATTTTTAAAAACTATTTTGAGGTTGTTATAAGAAGTAGATCCCCTTAGCTCAAAATGTGATCAGTTTCCAATTATAAGATAATAAATTCAAAAGGAAAAGTCTACTTACTGTGAACTTCATCTTGGCTTCACCAAAGCAGTGGAGTGGAGCGGATAGACATCGACCCATATAAGAAACCCTCTCATATTTGTACTTGACCAGCTTTACTCAGAGTAGGTGTGACCAGGTAGAGTCAAAGACTTATCTTTCTCTGTTTTCTATACCAGCGCCATTATCTGTAAACCAGGAAGTTTTTTGGGATATCTGCCTGATTAGCAAGGCACTTTGACATGGAGTTGATCTGACTCACTATTTGTTGAAATTGAAGATATCACAACAAACTCAACATGATTTATGATAACTTCTGGTCCAAATGCTACTATGGGTGTGTATATTTTATATAGAATTATTACTCAGATTTCAGAGACAGAATGATCCCTAAAATCAAACAAGGCCACAGATGAGAAACTGTGAGCACACTGAGCCTTGCAGATAGCAGCTCCTGTAGGACTGAGGCAGTGGTTTCCTCCTTATACCCTTACCTGAGTCCATTGTAAAGGTTTTGCTCAGAATAAATGTTTTTTAAAAATCTTTTTCTCCCCTTTTCCCTCCCCTCCTGAGTGTCTCAGATCTATGATCAGTTTTCAAATATCAGTCTTAGTTTATTTTTGTCTGATCCTTTGTTTGGCTTCCTGAATTCAACATATAAGTGAAACCATCCAATATTTATCTTTCTCTTTCTGCCTCATCCACTTAGAATAATCCTTCCAGTTCCAACCATGTTGCCACAAATGGCAGGAATTTATCTTTTTTGGTCATCAAGTAATATTCCATCGTATGTACCACATCTTCTTGATCCACTCATCTGTTCTGGGGCATTTAGGTTGTTTCTATATCTTGGTGATTATAAATAGTGCTGTCATAAACATAGGAGTGCAGGATAAATATGTTCTATTAGTTGCTCTTCCCAAAGCTACATCTTTCTGAGATCCAGAGCTCTCTCAATGAAAACATCACGCATATGGTAAGAGAACCTGAGGGCTATTTTCACCCCTCTCTTCTTACCACCACATCCGGTTAGTTTCTGAACTTTTTCATTTTGTCTCAAAATTGTTTCTCAATTCTAGCTGTTCCCATGTCTTCATTCACTTGGGCTTTTACACCAGTTGTGTAATTGATCACTCAACTCACTAGTCTCATATTCCAGTGCATTTTCTGTTTTTTACCTAAGGTTGGCTTCCTAAAGTACATATATAAATAACATGATTTTAACAATGCTTAGAAACATCTACTGATAGTCTATAAGATAAACTTAAAATTCATTGAAATGAGATGGATGGTTCTGTGACCAAAGCCTCCCCAGCCCGTCTCTCACTATATGTCATATTCCTCCACTCCAGCTACACGAGTGTTCTCACTATTCCTGGAACATTCTGCATGTTTCATGCCTCCTTTGCAAATGCTTTGGCCTTACCAAAGCAGTGGAGTGGAGAGGATAGGCAATGGACTCATATGAGAAGCCTTCTCATATTTGTACTTGACAGGCTTTACTCAAATTAGGTGTGACCAGGTAGAGGCAAAGACTCTACCCTAGCTTTCCCTTAGTTGGTAAACTGCAATTGATTTTTCAAGGCCCTGTTCAAACACTACTGTCTCCCTCACATCTTCCCGATAACTAGAGGGAACTTTCTTGCTGGAATTATGAAAGAAATCTCAGTCTCAAAATTTAGTTTTAGACAGTTTAATTTTCAGGAAATTATATTAAAATAATAAAAAGGTTTTCATCACAAGCAAAGAGTCGAGATTGTTACTTGGTCAAACAAATAAATGCTTAAAACTCTCTTGGAGGTGAATTGAAGTTTGACATTCTTCCAATACCACTCCCCTGCTCTCTCCTACTAACTAAAGCTGCTAAATCAAATTGCTAAGAGGAAAACTGTATCTCATTAATTACTGATCAGTAAATTTCTCCCTTGGAAACAATCCTGAGCCCATTATTATCCTTTTACTTGTGGATTGGAATCACACAATGGGCTTGCAAGGTTTTAAAGCTTGATTCACTATCAAAATCTTTTGAAAATGTTGGTATGGGTGGATTAGTATACTGTGGTTAGAGTTTTTTTTTTAAATATTTTTAAGTGTCTGCTAATTTATTTTTAACTTACTCTCTAACTACAAACCATCAACAAGATTTTTTTAGGGGGAGGCATAAGTATGAAAAGGTCTTTATCTACTTTAGAATTAGGTTCCTATCACTGCAGAGTTCTTGAACAGACAGCATGGCACCTTGAGGCTCAGCCATGATTGGTCAATTTTGCACATAGGCTCAGTGCCTAGCACATATTTTGATTGTCATATATTAGCAAGGGTTCCAGCTTGACATTTTTTTCTAGTGGACTGCCTAGTATGCTGGTATAGAAGATACTCAATCCATAGCAGATAGATGATCGATAGATGGAGAGGAGATGGGAGGGAAAAAATGAAGGAAAGGAGGGTAAAGGGAAGAGAGAGAGAGAGAGAGAGAGTTTAGGGTCCAATAAAGCCTCTCAGAAACTTATAACTGACATTCACTTATCAAATGTGCTAAAAAAAAAAAAAAAGAGAAATCTGTGCTAAAAGTGAGAAATCTGTCATAGTGTTTCATCCAGCTTCTCCTAACCTTAATTGACCATAGAAATAAGGTATTTTGTTTTTTCTTTAATGGATTTATTTCTTGTAACACTTATTAGCATCTTTGGGGAGGGGTATCTTTCTTAGGGAAGCAACAATTGTGTTTCCTCTGAGAATGCACCCTTGATCTGAAAATCCCTTTGGGGAGCTGCTGGATGGAACTAGGAGCAAGTAGACCTCTACAGTCTGTCCTTCTTCCTTCTTTCAATGAGACTTTTTACTCTTTAGCACTTAGGTTTCCTAAGGTAAAAGTGAAGACATTCCTCCTTTATACATTATTGTTTCCGACTGATTCAAAAAAAGCGTAGAAATCTCTTCCTCTGTACTTTGTGTGCTATGTATGAATGTGTGTGGGGGTGGGGAGAGGAAAGGTCAATCCTAACCTCAACCTTGATCCCATTCAATATCAAACATCTTAAGGAAGCATAAGCAAGACTCTTGCTGTCTCCTACCTTGAAAGCTAAGTCTTATCTGTCTCTGTTCTTCCTTGGAAGAAAGACAGAACATATTAATGCTTTTATCACCTCCACAGAACCTAGACTATAACAGCACATATATGATATTCAATAGGCCTATTTAAAAAATCAGAATTGCATAAAGAAGATGCTCAATCTAGAGGATAAAAATGAATTATATTCATTTCTGATTTTTGCAGCGAGTTGGAGAGGTGCTGTGCTACATTAGCTAGAGTGATACACCAAGGGATTCCAATGATATGGTTTGGTCCCAGTGCCCTAGGGTTAGAGTGAGACAACCCAGGCCCTTCCCTGTAATAGGGTAAATAGGGCTGCCCTGTGCACACTGCCCATGAAGCTTGATGCTGGGCCTTGCCAAGAGCCAAGTCCTATCATCATTTTATCTCACAGTGCACACACCCATGGCCTTGCTTTACCACACACCCTGTCTTGTCAAACTGGGTGAGAACTCCCTTTATATGGAACAAACAAGGGATACAAGATGATATGCTTATATTATAGATTTGAAGGACTTTCTAGAATTTTCTGACATAAATCAGACTTAATTTTCCTTTCATTTATCTGAGTGGAATATTTAAACACTTACAGGGCATATTTTCATCATTAAATATCCTCATTAAAGATTCTCTCTGCTGTACAGAAGAGCTAAAAAGACACTTCTCCAAAGAGGAAATGCAGATGGCCAATAGGTACATGAAAAAACCTTCAGCATCACTTATAATTGGGGAAACGCAAATCAAAACCACAATGAAATATCACCTTACACCACTAAGAATGGCCCACATTAAAAAAAAAAAAAACTAACAATAACAAATGTTGGTGAGGATGTGGGGAGAAAAAAGAACCCTCTTACATCACTGGTGGGAATGCAAACCCCAGTGGAAGGCTGTGTGGAGGACCCTCAAATTACTAAAAATGTATCTACCATATGACCCAGCAATTTTACTCCAAGGAATCTATCCAAAGGACACAAAAACATTAATTCAAAAGGATACTTGCACTCCTGTGTTCATCACAGCACTATTTACACAAATGCTACATGAGACTCAAAAAACAACCAACCAGTGCTCATTCTCGAAGACCCTGAAATCTACATGAGAGGCAGGACTGGCTTTATGGGCAGTGACCAGTAGTGTCACATGGGGTCCATAGTAGGGAGAGAGCCCCATACTTGGTTTTAATTCTTTGTAGTTACCAACTTGAAATTCTTTTTCTTCTTTTTTTTAAATTTTAAAAGGACAAGTTTTTTAGGCAAAGGAGAAAGAAAAAGAGAGACACCTGCATAGGCATAGGCAGGCAGGAGAGCTGCCTCATGCCAGTGCAGCAATTGAATTAATATAGTGTTCTTCATCTTGAAATTCTTAATGATTCTATTTTTGAATTTGTGTTTTGTAAGTGAAGCCCATTAGGACAATGGAGCATGTACTGGGGACTTGGAGCCTTGGTTCACGTGTTGTCCCTGCTCCTACCCCTCCCTACTTCCTTTTCTTCTACCCACTCCTCTCTCCACTGGTGGTGACTGGATGCAAGTGCAGGAAGGGTCAAGTGTGACACTGGCTGGGGCCCCAGATACTTTTGATTATTCCCACTTACCTTGCAAATATCCCAATGTTCATTGGACTATGATATTAAATAGCAAATTAAAAACATCATCAAAGAAAGGAAAGGCTCTGTGCCTGCTTTTGGGGCAAAAGGTATGGTATTTTCTTTTTCTTTTTTTTTTTTAAAGATTTATTCATTTATCTATTTATTTATTTATTTATTTATTTATTTTTTATTTATACAAGCACTGGGTACACAGTCAGAAGCGCGGGAGGGTGAGAGAATTCACCAGAGCCAGAGCGGGGAGCAGAGCAGGCAGAAGGACCGAAGCACACTGCTGAGGGGAGCAGCGGGCCGCAGGAGAGGTCTGCACGCCTTGTGGGACCCTCCTCCAGTGGCCGGGGAGCAGCCGGGGCTCGAACCGGCACTGCAGATGCTGCG